AGGACAGAAACCATAAACCTCTAACCCCTTGGAATTGTTTTGGTGCACTGTAACTCAGTTTCCCAGAGCCTGATCACTCCTACCTTGAAAGAGCTAGTCTAATCCAGTTTGTGATCCAAAAAAAGTACTCCAACCCAATAATGCCGTATTTCAGTGCCATCCTGCTTTGAAGTGAACCAACTGGCTGTCCCCTATCTTTACTGTGACAGGAAAGCTTTCAAGTGACTGAGGACATCCAACAATGTTTTTCTGCTGAGTGACATAATCTCTTTTGTCATATTTGCCCAAAGACTTTTTGCCCGATACCCTTAAAGCTGTCCAAGGAGTAGAGACAGGTTCTTGGAACCTTACATAAGCTTCTGCTTCAGTTTGGCTATGGAGGGCTGGATTCTTTTTCTGAACAGCACAAGCAAGCTGGATAAAATCACGCAGGGAGGGAGAAGATTTGATTTGTCACTTGCCATTTATCTAATAGGTATTCCCACAGCACCTTCAGATTGCAGATTTCTGTAGGGGGATTTGGGGCTGCAGAGCTAAGGTCCTACTAACATATTTAACCCAGAGCTGGAGTGGCTGGAACACCGTAAGTCTTGTCAGGTGTTCTCTGGAGAAGCATAGCATTTTACAGCCACTACATTCACCCAGGTTAGGCACACACCCAGGTCACAGTAACCAACCTTTCTTCAGTTGGAAAGAAGTTGGAAAGAGGATGAGAGGAATCCTCCAGTTGTTAAATTATGTGCAGTGAAATGCTGTGTCTGACTTTGAGAGGTTTTATATTTCTAATACATTTGGTTACATTTAGTTCCTGATCTATTTGTTTCCAATTTTTGTTTTGTTTTGTTTTCTGATACAAGGCCTCTCTATGTAGCCCAGGGTCTCATGGAGAGCCTCCTGTTTCAGTCTCCACAGTTTTGGGATTATAATTATATGCCACCACGCCCAACTTGTTTCTGATCTTGTTCTATATTTTTTGATACATCCGATAAAAATAAACTTTGCTCTTGGTCTAGAGCTTTATTTCATATATATATATATATATTGCTTGTTATTTCTCTTCTGTTCAGGTCAAAGCAAGTCACAGCATCATTTGTTAAACATGCACCTCAGCATCTAAGACCACTGTTATGGTTTTGATAGAGAATTTTGCCCAAAGCCCCATAGACTCAGTGTCAAGGCTTTTAGAAGGAGGTGGATCATGGGAGCATAGTACTCATCAGTGGATTCATCTACCAGTGAGTTCAGGGCTGGGCGTGCTGTTAGCAGGGGGGCCTGGTTGGAAGAGGCAGGCCACGGGGTCTGACTGGGAAGGGTGTAATCTCCCTCCTTGGCACCTCCCTTCTTTCTTTGTTTCCTGACTGCCATGAGGTCAGCAGCTTTCCTTAGACCTCTCCACCATGCCCTTCCTGCCTCAGAGTCAGCCAACTATGGACTGAAAACATCAGCCAAAATAAACCTCTACTCCTTCAATTTTGTGTATTGGGTATTGCGTCTCGGGAACAAGGAAAGTGACTCCGATGAGCAGAAACTGAGTCTTACCTTTCTGATTTAGAAAAGTTCATTTATTGAACTTGTGCTATGCACACTTAAGCCCTATATCCAACTTATGATCTGGTAGGGATAAAGGACAGAGAATACAACTAAAATAAGTAGCGGCGGCTGGGAATGTAGCTCAGCACTGGAGCACATGCTAGACATGTGAGGGCCCTTGGTTATATTTACACAAAAAAGGGGAGTAAGCGTCTAGTCAGTCAGGAGATTCAGGCTCCAAGAATGACCCTCATTGGCTTGAGGGTTAACTAATTTTTCAGTAAGTTAAATTTAAATTGGATCTGGGGTGATCGTTAGGATTTCAAGTTACTTGACAGTGTTGAGCACCCACAATGCTGGGTGCTGGGACACACTTAGGAGACGGGAATGGGATAAACCACCGACCCTCACCTAGATCCTCTGTGGGGAAAGTAAGCAAAGCCAGCTCATGCGGGCTGCACAAAAGAGTCACGCGATGGGCCCATGCCAGCGCTGAGTCCAGAAGGGGCAGCGTCAGGCACAGTGGATCTGGGGACTCTTGGCTCCTTCTCTCCCTCTCCCTAAAGATCACCCTGCCACCCTGCACCAGCGCCTGCCTTACTCTGGCCCATTCCTCGGCTCCTGCCACTACTCTTGTGAACGGCATCTTTCCTATCACCATAATCATATTCAACTGTCTCCTCTTACAAAAGAAAACTCCCACCTCATTAGCTTCCTTCAGCCATACTTTTATCTCATTCCTCTTCACAGCCAAACTCAGCCACATTCTGCCACATCTTCTCTTCTCTCGCTCTTGGGCCCACTGTACTTGGCTTCTGTAGCTTTCTCCCCACTGGGAATCCTTGCTAAGGTCATCAGCCACCTTCAACATGTTTATCCACTCTCCTCTTCTGCAAACATTCTTTTCCTTTGGCTTCTACAGGGTCATGCTCTCTTGCTTTTTTCTCAACTCTTTAGCCATTGAATTCTTTATTGTAGTAAAATATACATATCATAAATTGTGTGATTTTTAATCATTTTTAAGTAAACCATTCAGTGCCATTAAATACATTCATGATGTTTCATTTGGGCTCATTAGTGTTTTACTTGGTTTCCTTCAGTGACCTCTGTGAAGCTGTAAGCTCCATGAAAGAGAGACAAGGACAGGCTTTGCTTGCTATTGTAGCCACTATGCTGGTCCAGACCACATGTTCACTATGTATTTGCTGAGTAAATTATAGAGAGCTAATCTCCATGTACACCTACCTAATTCATTCCCAGCTTCTCTGCAGAAGGAGGCTCCCTGCAGACCTGACGCCCTGCCAGGCTGGATTTTGACTGAGGTCAGGCAGAGGGAGGTGGGGGACATCACAGGACAAGAGGAGAGGAGAGTGGCCTCCTTGCTACCTCCCTCCATGACTTTCTCCTTCACAACCTGGCTCAGCACGGGCTGCCCACAACACTTTGGTCCTAAGTGGAATCGTGTTTCCCAGTATTGCTATTCTGTGTCTCACCATTATTTTTAAATTTTTAATCCTAGGAAGATTGATCGATAACAGAGACCAGTTATAAAACAAGCCTAGTCCAAGAGAAGACAGAAAAAAAAGGCAGAGCAAATGCATTATAAATGAGCCCTACAAAGTTTGGCAACTGATATGTGAAACTATATGCTTGCTGAGGGTAGGAACTGTATTTCATTCATTCTTTAACTCCCATGCTTAGCTCTTAGTATGCACTCCATAAATATTGGTGGAACGAGTTATTGGAAGAGTCAACATGATTCCAAGGTTCAGGGCTGGGTGATTCCCCTTTTCTCTTATTTCATCTTTTGTAGGATGGAGAATTGAACCTGGGGCCTTTACACCGAGTCCTTTTGATTTTTTTTTTAATTGTGAGACAGGATTTCCCTGAGTCATTACAAACCTGCAATTCTCCCGCTTCAGCCTTACCGGGCTGGGATTACAGGCATGAGCCATCACACCTGGTAGTGATTCCCTTTGTAGAGAAAAGTGGTGTTAGGTTAATATGTGAGCAGTAGTTACAGTCATGGTAAGGACAAAGAACGACCGTGTAGAAATAGTAGGATTTTTAGGGTCAAATGAATCTAAGTCCCAACACTCCCACCCAATTTTGGTTGAGTGACCTGACATCTCTTTAAGATAAATTTCCTTTCCTCTAAAATGAAAGTACAAATCCCCCAAATCCTAGTATTTCTGTGAGGAATGCATGAGATTATATATGTAGAGCCCATGCCCACTGAGACTCCCACCTAGCTAGACATCTTGAGATGTGACACAGAGACCCAACGACATCAGGGTGTGTTCCCAGGGATTTTCTCTGGGGTTTATTTCTTGTACCCACAAGGACAAGCTAGGAGTTCCCGCATCTGAATGATCCAGGGCTGAAGCGTCAGTTGAGAGAGCCTCTCAGTACGCATCAGCTGTTACCTCTGTTCCTGGTATAGCACTGCAGATTTAAGAGGTCTTCCTCTACCTACTTTTGTGGAATCCTAAGCAATTACAACTTGTGCCACTGATATTTGTAGATAATGTCTTAGCTTTTGGCCTTCTGTGCTGTGCAGGGTAGGACCACCGCCATGCCCTTTCCTCCGTTCGTAGTAAGACCATTAGGAATACATTAACCCTGCAATGGGGGTAGAATTCAGACCTAAACCCTCCTTCTATCTTTGATGCCCTTTGTATCTTTGTTTCCCCTATTTTCTTTTTTTTTTAACTTTTTATCGGTACCGGGGATCGAACTCACGACTGCCTGCTTGCAAGGCAGGTGCTTATGCCGCTGAGCTAAATCCCCAGCCCGTTTCCCCTATTTTCTAACTGCCCTGAGGGCAATGCCTGTTGATCCCAAAGACATAATTTCCCCACTCCAACATGGAGAACTGGCTCCATATTTTAGCCCATTAAAAAGTACCAAAAATGACCATCTCTAACACTCTACTGAATTTTCTGGGCAACTACAGCAGGAGACAGTGCTTTTTCAGGAACTGGGCAGAGAGGAGAAAGAAGTTCCCTTTCAGGATATTTACAATTCCAATAATGACCTCTGGTGACTTCCTACCCACAAGTAATTTCCCTTATAACTCATGAGAATTGACTTTCCTGTTGTTTAACTGACAACTAAAACATCTCTGTATCACTTAACAACCAAAGAATCTCAATATTCCAGGTTTTATTTTTCTCCTCTAAAGCTCACTGTACAAAGACTAGTTTATTACCATCCAGTTTACTCTGGTTGAATATTCACAACTCTATACACATGCAATATCTATAAATTTACCCATCTAAGCTAATGACTTCAGACTAAAGAAGCATATTTTAAAGATGCAAATATTGTGTATTTTAAATATGTATGAACATGCTGGGATAGAAAGACTGAAAGACCCCACTAATCCGCTAAAATCCGATGGAGGGAAAGACATGCAGCCTTCCGTTTCCTTTTCTTCAGATTTTTTTTTTTTTTTTTAAATCCTATAGTGCCTTTGGCTTATACAAAAATGCTCCTGGTATCCTAGAAAGACCTGCTCCGTAGCCAGATGATTTCGAGGATTTTCAAAGGCTGGAAGACATTCAAGGTACCACTTATTTATTTTGTTTTAGATGCATTTCTTTTGTGTCTTTCTTTCTGGAGAGGAGGTCTTGCCCTGTAGCCCCAGGCTGACCTCAAACTCCTCCAGTCCTCCTGCCTCTGCCTCCCACATGATGAGATTGTACCATCATGCCTAGCTAACAGTTTTTTTTTAAAAAAAATACTAAGATAAAGTATAAAAACATGTGTTTTATTTGTATTTTAACATATTGATGCTCTGACAGGAAAAAATAAATAAAAAATGGTTGTGCCATTGAGAAGACAGATGAAAGATTCAATTTTAAAATTCAAGGTATCCAAAGGCCATGTAGTTTAGTCATGGTTCTCAATGTTAATTTTGGCAGTGGGGGGAAAGACTGTTTTCTTTTCAAAACTGTCAAGAGAATCTCTGTGCCTTTCTTTGCAGACAGTGTTAAGAGCTTAAATTCAGTCCATTATAGATTGTGAGGCCTGGAACAGATGGTCTCTCAGCCTGTGCTCTCTCATCCAACCCCTCTCCCTCACCATAAGCTGAGAGTATTTAGTTAATATTGGGAGAGCAGCCAGGTGTGGTCACGAGCACAAGCCTGTAATCCTAGCTACCCAGGCGCTGAAGCAGAAGAATCTTAAATTGAGGTCAGCCTGCACTAATTTAAAATGTCTGAGGTTTCTCAATCCCCTGTACAGAGGGGGAAATGGGCAAGGATATTATTACTTAATAACAAAGAACTGAAGATGATGGTCATCAAGTCTTAGCCATTTTAACTATGTAAAGAAACACCTGAAGCCAGGCATAGTTCCCTGTAATCCTAGCACTGTAGGAGGCTGAGGCAGGAGAATTGCAAGTTTGAGCCCAGCTTGGGCAACTCTGTGACTTAGTAAGACTCCATCTCAAAAAACAAACCAATAAACAAACAAAAAGCCCCATGAAGGTAGATTCTAAGACCAGTTTTTCTCTCAAATGTTGAAGCCAAAGTTTTTCTTAGCTGATTTTTAAAGGTGTGTGTTTGATATATCTTATTTAAATCACAAACTCCTCACAAAGGAACTTATGCTGAGCTAGAACGAAATGAGTAGTTAGCATTATTGGTTAATGCACATTTAAATTGTTTGCTTTCAGATTTAAATTGGAAACCAGTTTTACACTTATGACATGGCTACACTAACACTTACACACCTATATTTGTAGATTTAGAAACGTCCTGAGCTGCATGCTTGTGACTGGACGCTGTTAGCCAACATACCTTACATACGTCCAAACGCCTGTCGTTCACCCAGTAACTGCCTGTGCTTTGGAAACAGAGAAGAGAAGCTCAGCCATCTGTATGTAATGCGTAGTTGAAGCCAGCTTTTCATGTAGATGAACTGGCTGATCTGTGACACTGATAAAAGCAGATCAAAGTTGGATTTAGGTCATCAGCCATCTTGCCCTGGGAGCTACTGGGTCAGTGGGTCATAGGAGAGAGGGAGGGGGTAGATGGTGCTGCGGGATCCTCACACAGCACGAGGGGAAGGTTTAGGGCTGAGGGCTCCCTAACAGGCTGACAGATCTCACTGGCAGCTCATCTGCCCTAGGCCAGCTGGGACAGAAAGTAGATTCATAAAGGTTGCGCGGCCCAAGCAAGAAGTTGAGCTTCTGTTCTCTATAACCGAGAAACAGCCAACTAGAGATGTAATTTCAGCACAGAAGGCAAAAGAGGGCAGAGAAAGAAGTGGTTAGAGAACAAAGGGAATTGACAAATACATTCCCTCTATTAAAGGCACAGAATTGCTCAGTGATGAAGGCCCTGGTTCAGTTCTGGCACCCCTCCTCCCAAAAAGGCTGTTCTTGGCCTTTTATTTCTTTTCTTTCTCTCCTCTCTTCACCTCTCCTCTCCCTCCTCCTTTCTTCTTTCTTTCTTGGGTGCTGGGCATTGAGCCCAGGACATTATATATATTAAAGAATACTCTCTTTGAATGTCAATTTCCTTTAATATATTTAAAAGTTTATTAAGTAATTATTTTTTTAATTTTTAATTTTGAAAGTAGTGAGGTACAACAGAACAAGACAGAATAAAGTCAACTGAGACAGTGTAGTGAAATTGGTAAGAACTTCACAGCAGCTTACCGGGATAACAGTAACAGGTATCACAGTATATTTCATTATCTTCACAATAGTTGTTCTTTCAATCACGTATATCAAAATGAAATGAAATACAGAACATTATAGAACTTATCAAAACAGAATATTGAATAGAGCAGTACCATTAATCAGAATAAAGCAAAACAGTAATAAAAATATTTGCCTTCAAAGAGATGGTAGAAGGAAGTCCCCCTTATTTGCTATGGTCAACCTCCCAAGAGACGCTCAGATTTCTGGTTCCCATTTGCTAACGGGGAGGGGGGGGTACCACCACAGGGGAGGGGGCTAGGGGAAGTGGAATGTTTGACTCTGGGCTGTGCACCAGTAGGTTCACTATTGCTTAGCAGGGAGGCAGGCTGCTTGCTTGGTTTCCCAGGGTCCTAAGTTCCAACATGGCACGGAGCTCAGGAGACACTGGTTAAGCAAGTAATTATTTATTAGTGTTTCTTTAAAAGTTATTTATTTTTAAACTATTCTTTCTAACAAAATAAAGAATGTCCTCCATGTCCAAACACACTATACCTAATTATTACAGTATTGTAAATTTCCTAGCATATAGATTAGGAGAGCCAAGTGGCCCTATAAAAGAATCATTTCTTCTTGAAAAAGAAAACTGAATTGTACCTTTAAGAAACACAATTAAAGAATATACCTAACTGAAAAAAAATCTAAAAACAGAACTTTATCTTTTAATACTTTAAGTACTTAGTTTATCCAGTTGGGTGTTACTTCCTGGTATTGAAGTAATTCTAAGTAACACAAACAACAATACAAATATGAGTTATAATCATTTGGAATGTTAACTGTTTTACTCAGACAATTGCATAATTGTTTTTCATTGTTTGCTTGCTTGCTTGCTTCTGTAACTGTAGACTAGATTATAATTTTCACGGGATCTATGGACATGCTTTGTGATACAGGGTGAGTGGTCTCAATGAAAATAAACATCAAGTAGTACAAGCCTGTAATCCTGGCACTCCGGAGGCTGAGGCAGTAGAGTCACAGTTTGAGGCTAGCCTGGGTTCCATCAGGAGACCTTCTCTCTGAAAAACAAACTTCAATCTCCTGTTTTATTTTTGTGGTGCTAGGGTTCAAACCAGGGGCACTCTACCACTGAGCTACAGCCATAGCCCTTTTTTATTATTTGGTTTGAGTCCAGTTCTTGCTAAATTGCCTAGCTGAGTAGCAAACTTGCAATCCCCCTATTGGTTCAGTGCCCTGAGTAGCTGGGAGGACAGGCATGCCCCACAGAACCTGGCTGCCTCTAATTCTAAAGTTAGTAGTCTGGTGCTCATAATAGTAGGAAATGCAGCAGTATTTGCAGGGTTTTTTTTCTTCATTTCTCTTCAATACCAAAAAAGGAATATGGTTTATTTTATTTTTGTTTTGTTTTTGAGACAGGGTCTCAGTATGAGGTCAAGGCCAACTTCAAACTCCTGGTGAGTCTGCCTCAGCCTCCCAATGCCTGCCCAGCTAAAATGGGTATGTTTCTAAGGGAGATTTGCAGTGTTCACTAATGTACAGCCAGTCATAATATAAATTTAAATAATGTCTGTGTTGCGGAGAACAATTTAGTGGGTTTTAATTCTCAAACGTGAATTAAACATGAAGAATAAGTCCTTTCTGTTTTAACTACCGCAGTTTCAGATGGGTGGGGGTGGGGGTGCTAGCGTGGTGGGCTCTCCAGGAGCAAGTGGTGCGACAGGACAGAGTGGGCAAAGATTTCATGGGGGCACAAATGTTGAAAAGACAGAAGGCGGCAGATTTGGGCAGGGCAGCCCTGGGACTCAAGAAGACCTGGCAAAAGCTGTGCACCCAGCAAGCAACTGCACAGCAAAGGAGTCCTTAGTCCCCACCTGCCTCTGTCACAGCAGGGGCTGTCCTGGAAAGAGTGGGAACCCTGCCCCAAAACTGACACTGGTCCCCAGGGAGCTGTACATCGGCAGCTGTTGTCAGCCTTGGGTGACAGGTGCCAGATATACTTTCTACTACATTTCTAAGGATCCCTCTTTCCCCTTTCAGTCTCAAAACTCCTCAGATCTCACTCATTTCCTGGCCCCTCATCTCCCTAGCCAAAGAAAAGTTTAGGTTCCTCTCAGTTATGCAGTTCGACACATTAGAGATGACTTTTCTTGCTTCTGTAGTTGGGGCGTCATTTTCGAAAAGAGCTACCAGGCATTTCCTCTGGATACAAAGATGCTACTCCCTTAATAAGAGAAAATGGTAGTGGGCAGGATGATGTGTGCCTCATTACAGCACTCTGAGAGGCCGAGGCAGGAGGACAGCGAATTTCCAACTCTGTGCTCACCTTGAGAAATTTAGTAAAACCATATCTTGGAAAAAAGAAACTGCTGGGGCTGTAACCTTGGGTTTGTTCCCAGGGAGGGACAGGCACAAGGACAGGGACACAGGGAAGGAAAAGAGGAGAGATAATAGTTGTGGGAAATTCCTGATTTAAGTACCAGCTGCCTCTCATTATTACAGAGTAAAGCTACCAAAGAAGGTAAGAGCGGAGTGAAATATGAAATTTGGAAGCAAAAGTGAGAACTCCACTGCCCTGGATGCATGGAATTATCTTTTAAAGTTTAATATACATCTGAGATTGGTTTAAGGTGTGAGTGCTATACAAGTTCAAGAATTTTCTTAAACATTTATAACTTAAATTCTAATCAGATACTTTCCTGTTGTTATTTGGTAATGTTGACTGCAATGTTTAATAATTCATTAGAGAGTAGAAGCTTTAATGTATAAATTCAAAAGCATAAAAATGTACATTCTTGTCAGGCTTGGTGGTGCACACCTGTAATCTCAATACTTGGGAAGTTGATCACAATTTCAGTGCCAGCCTGGGTTACATAGTGAGATCAAGGGAAGTTTGGACTACATTGCAAGATCCTATTTTTAATAACAAACAAGCAAATTCTTTATTTGTTCAAAACTAAATGCCACCTCTATGTTTTTGATACGGTGGTTAAGGTAGAATGTGGCATTGGTTCACTTTTGGGGTCTACTTGAGGGACTGATGGGGTACACTTCAGAGTTTGTATGCATGGGTCATGAAGGTGTGGTTCTAGGGTCCATTGTTAGTCCCTCACCCCTTCTTCTCTGACACAGTTGTCCTCTGAATCTTGATTACCATGAACTAAGCAACTTTGCATGCCATGATGTTTCTGCCTTATGGCCAGGTGACTATGGACTGAATCCCTTAAAAATGTGAGCCAAATTAAACCTCTCCTCCTTTAAGTTGGTATTGGGTATGTGTACTAGTGATGGGAAAGCTTGTACAGAAAATCAGTGTCAAGAGTGGGGTCACTGCTGTGAGGGTACCTCACCATGTGATTTAGAAGCCTTTGGAACTGGTTTGCAGGAATTTGGAAAGATTTGGCTATAGAACGAGCTTGATGGGTGATTTTGCTCAGGGCTTGGAAGACCTGTCAGAATTCTGATAGAAATGCAAACCAAGAGACCAGGCTCCAGATATTTCAACTGGGTACAAGTATTCCACTAGAGGCCATATGTGCCACACTGGCAGAAAATTTGTTCATATTTTGCCCACATCCTGAGTCTTTGACAGAGTCTAAAATTAAGGGTAGCAGACTAATTGATTTGGTGGATGAAATTTCAAAGAAGCTCAACATTTAGGATGTGGCATAGATACTTGGCTACTTTTACCCATATTTATAATGAGAAGCATGAACAGAAAGAAAAGCACAAAATTCTGAAAAACTTAAATTTTGGTCTGACACAACCATGTGTAATTTTAGGGCCAAAGGAGGTGTGGTTGGAAAGAGATTAATTCTATAAAAATGAAGCCAAGTACAGTAAAATCTTGGTTTGTGAGCATAAGTCATTTTGGAAAAATGCCTGTAATCCAAAGCCCTTGCATATCGAGGAGAACTTCCCCATAACAAATAATGGAAACTCAGATGATTTATTCTACAACCCAAAGTCACTCATATAAAATGATTACAATGCTGTAATGCAATACAAAATAATAAAGTACATAACATAAAAAATAAATTACTCTGTGCTTACCTTTGAAAATGTTCATGGCTGGTGTGAGGGAGACAAGACACAAGAGTTATTGTGTGGGACAACTTTCACTATTGCTAATGGAACCACTGCTGTTAGTTCAAAGGGATCTTTAATAAGGAACCTATTTAATGACACTTGATTCTGCTTCCTTTTGAGGATTTTGCAGAAATTTAACATTGCATTGTCATTAAACAGACTCACTGCTTGCACTGCTGCAGCCTTATATAGGTTGTGCTTTTCTACATAATTTGCATTGTCTCCTACATTTTACACATCTCCCTAACCTCACTTAAGTGAGCGCTTCCCCTGTCCTTTTCTCTTTCTCCTTTGCAGATGGGATCTTCCCCATAACTTCTTGCTGTTAGGAGATGATCATCTACAACCCCGCAGTGAGAGAGAGAACCATTGGTTCAGTTGTGATCATGTGACGTTGAGTGTCACATACTACTCATTTTCTAAGATATCACTTGTTTATCAAGATAAAGTTTATTAGAAATGCTTGCTCATCTTGCAAAACAGTCACTGAACAAGTTATTCACAATACAAAGTTTTTTTTCTACTTTGTACAGGAACAAGAAGAAAGCTGCCTTGGGAATATTCCAGAAATCAACAAGACTCTACTCATCACAGACTCAAGGATATAAAAGTGTCAACCTTTCATTTGAGAAGAAAGTCCCTAAGATATTCTGCTTAAGAAGGGCTTCCTAGGGACCTGGTTCCCTGGGATTCATTACACCGTCCCCAGTTATCCAGGCACTCAGAGGTCAATCCAGCCATGGTCCAAGGTGCCACTTGAGCTGGTAGCAGACATTGGTATTACCCATAATTCTGGTTTTACCAGCATGCAGAATGGAAGATTTGTTAATGAAGTCTTGGAGGCCTCCATTCAGATTTCTTTTTTTTTTTTAATTTTATTTAAGAGGAAAAAGAGAAAAACACAAAACAAAACAAAGCGCTGTAAGGGTACACGTAATACAGAACTACAAAAGACAAAAAAAAACATAATAGTAAGAAATCACCTGCTAATTACATATTATCATCTTGGAAATAGTTGCTCAAATCACAGTATCAAAGAATACAAAGTGGACATTCAAACAGAGAGACTGCAAACAGCTGTGTTCAATGATCCAAAAACATTAATATAGTCAGCTATTTAACACCCCTAAACACACTTGCTGTTATATCCGTTAGAGCTCTTTTTTTTTCCCCCTCTCTTTTTTACAACAAAATTTACACATTTTGGATTTTATTACTCCTTAGTTCTTATTACTTTTTTGGGGGAGAGAGAATAAAGTCAAATATGGAAAACAAAGCTGTCAGTCAAAACCAAGGATAGACATAGCACATGATGTAGAACAGAGTACAAGGTTATCAACAATGGTTATCAACGTTGTCTCTTGTTTCCTTAAAAAGAATAGTCTATCTCATTAGATATTATAAAGTTGGACAAAACAGTAGAGAACAAGACCAATAAAACTTAGGCATTGTAAACATTACAGGACTTCCAAAGGAGACAACAGTCAAATCAGAATGGGCATCTTAGTGAATCTTATTGCCTTCAAAGTAGTTGCCTATACCCTCAAACTTGATACTATCATATAGAATGGAAAAGAGTCTAATCAGTCAAAACAAGATCGTGGGAGTATTACAGGACTTCAAAACAAGTTAATAGGAAATCAAAAAGAGTTACTATAATATATGCTAATTTTTTTTAATTTTTCCCCTTAATTAAAACAAACATAAGAAATAACTAAATAATTTTTTTAAAGAATAAGGTAGAGATTGAGATAAGCTCCAACATGGCGTGGATCTCAGGAGACACTGCTAGATCTCCCCCTGGAAGGGCTGCAGGCTGCCACCCTGCCTCCACTCACAGGGAGGGGAGATGCTGGCTTGGCTTCCCAGAGTCCTAAACTCCAACATGGCGTGGATCTCAGGAGACACTGCTAGTTCTCCCCCTGGAAGGGCTGCAGCGGGCTAAACTACCACCGCTTACTAGGGAGGGGAGGTGCTGGCTTGGCTTCCCAGAGTCCATTCAGATTTCAAAGGAAAGCCAGAGAGGTCAGACAAAGAGCCCCTGAGAGGTCAGAGCAGGGAGCTGTAGAAATGAAACCAAAGGTGCAGCAGAGATTCGAAGAAGTCAGAGATGCTACAAATGTGGAATGTCTCCTAGGACAGCTGCAGGCCAAGGGTGAAGCCAGTCTGAGAGAGGTTTACGGGCTGCCACTGGCAAGGCCTCAGGGAGGGGGCAGTCCAGGCCCTGTGGAACTCACTAACATATTCCTTGGAGCTACAGGACTTAATATTTGCTTTGTTTGGTTTCAGTCTTGCTTCTGTCTGATTCTTTTTTTTTTTTTCCTGGTAGGGGATCGAACTCATGACTTCATGCTTGCCAAGCAGGCACTTATAACACTACTGAGCTAAACCCCCAGCCCTTCTGTCTGATTCTTTTCTGTCTTCCTATGGGATGGAAATGTTCACTCTATGATATTGTACTTTAGGATGATATAATTTGTGGTTTTTAAAAATGATTTTACAGAGATTCAGAGATTAGAGTTTGCCTTTAGTCTCAGAAGAGACTGACTTGGATTTTTTAAAAATTCTGGAACTGTTGGGACTTTTGGGAAGGGATTGTTGCTTTTCCAGTTGTATGAAAGAGTAGTATTATGTTAGCTGAAATTATGTCTGCACAATAGTCTTCATTTGGAGATGAAGTAAGACTTAAAGAAATGTGTTTATTTCTGGGCACGATGGCACACACCTGTAATTCCAGCACTCCAGGGGCTGAAGGAGGATCACTGTGAGTTTGAGGCAAGCCTGGGCTACATAAGTGAGTACAAGGCCAGTCTGTATTACTAGTGAGATCCTATCTCAGAGAGAGAGAGACAGACAGACAGACAGACAGACAGACAGAGACACAGACACAGACAGAGAGACAGAGAGAGAGAGATGTTTGTTAACAAAGAAAGGATAGGTTAGGGAGAAATGTCAACTTGATTGGTGGGGGATTGGTGGAACACACTTGTGGGTGTGATTGGGTGGGTCACGAGAAGCGGCCACAGGACCTGTGTCTCAAACCGTGCCCCTTTCTCTCCTAAGCTGTTCCCTTGCTCTGCTCCCCAGCCACCATGAACTAAGCAGCTTTGCTCCATCGTACCCTTTCAGCATGGCAGTTCTGCCTTGGAGCCAGCTGATCATGGACTGAATATCCTTAAGGAGGAGCTTGATCCTCTCCTTTAAGTTGTGGGTGCCAGCTATTGTGTTCTAGTGGCAGGAAAGCTAATATATTTCCATATTGAATTTCTGGAGAGTTACAGACATGTATCATTGTGAAGGCCACGTTTTCTGAAACTGGGTTCCTGAAAATGGGGCTTTTAGTTCAAAGGATATTCTGAATTTAAACATATGGTTCCAATACTGTCCCATCTGTGGAGGAACAAGGATGATTCTCCTTGAAATAGGAGCAATTGTCTCCATTTTGGCTAAACCTGGCCCTCTCACAGTGACTTGACATGTACAGAGCTAGGAGGACATTACCTTCTCCCCTCGATTAGCTTTAAGCAATGTAAATGGGTCAGGCCGAGGTGCTGATGTGTCTTTGAAGCCATGTGATAGGTCAGTGATGCTCTGCATACAGCTTCCAAATAGCATGTGTGAGCTGGGCTGAGTGATGGCCACGCTGTGAGCTGAGAATGAGCCTCAAGAAAAGAGGCTGTGACTTCTCAGGGCATGGATTACCCATCAAAACGGAAGCAGCAACCCCAAAACGTTAGATAGTGCCTCGGATTGTGTCAAGCAGATTCCTCTTTCTGCACAGCTCTGTCTCTGCGTACAGCAGAGGTGATTTCAGGCCTCACGCAGAGCCCAGCTCAAGGCACTCAGGTACTTCCTGCCACTCTCAGGCTCATCCTCAGGCCACTCCCCTCCTCGTGAATTGATAAAACCAGGTTCAGCTCTGGGTTGAGGACTTCGTCCCATTGGCCATTATTCTAGCTGGACTTAGGACCCCCGTAGGTCCCCCAACTATGAAAACGCCTTAGCGTTTCATTCTCGCCATGTGCTGCACTGGAAGTGGTAGACTGGAATTACCTTATTAAATTCCAGTCACTTTTCCATGGGATTACAAATGTGGACTTGCTGGACTGTGACAAGGTCCAGAAGGGCCTTCGATACCACCCTCTCATGTATGAATGTCCAATTATGTACACTCTCACCAGCCTGGAAATCATCAATCTTTTCAAGTTTTATCAAGCAGATGGGCAAAAATATAATTTTATTATCACTTTAAATTGCATTTCCCTTGCTACTAACAAGATTGAGCAGCTTTTCATGTTTGTATGACCCCTGCACTTGCACTCATTCTTTGGGTCGTTTGTCTTCTTCTTTTTTTAAAAGACAGGGCCTCTGCTATGTAGCTTAGGCTGGCCTGGAACACACAGTGGTCTTCTTGTCTATGCCCCGCTGGGTCTTCTGTCTTCTGACTGACTTATAAAAGCCTTTTTAACCCAAACCCTCAACACTTTTTAAAATCATGTTTATGCTACAAATATTCTTTTTTAATTTATCATTGATGTTTGACTGTCTTTAGCAGTGATTAAAATCTTTCAGACAGGGGCTAGGGATTTAGCTCAGCAGCATAAGCACCGACCTTGCAGGCAGGCAGTTGTGAGTTTGATCCCCGGTACCGATAAAAACGAAAAAGACAGAAAAATAGAGAAAAAAAAACCCTTTCAGACAGTGCCCATACTACCACCCTGAACCACTTTTTGGACAGTGCCAACATTGCAATTCTACCTGAATACAGAGGTTTTAGTGTAGAAAAAAACAACCCGTCTATTAACGTCTTGTGTCTTAGAAGAAAACCACAGTAACACACATGCCATGGGTTTACCATCACTCCTATAAAATCATAAAGATGCCATTCCATGCCCCTCAGCTCATGGGCAAGAGGTAAAAGACACACAATGATAATACAATTTGAGAAAGTTTTATACACAGATAGTCTTCTCAATAAATAGCAGAGGGAGCACTTCTAATATTAGCAGCAGGCTGTTTTCATGTTAAAAATACTTCTTAATGGGCAATGAAAATAACGTAACTCTAGTGAGGGGCACTGGCGTATTTTTATCACAAAGCCAGCCAAATGATGCCTTTTTATTTTTGCTTAATCATCATGCTGGGAATGGACCCTAGGGCCTCTTAAATAGCAGGGCCTTTATCAGTGGGCTACACTCCCATTCCACAATCAGTACTTTCCCCAGAGTGTGACCACTCCGAACCTTATTCAACTCCTACCTCCTCTCACATGCTCCCTCTAGGCCTACAGCTTCCAAATTCCATTTTACCCACTGTTTCTATCCACCATTCTATTTTTAAAGGAGTGTTACTTGTTAGCTTGCAATAGGCTTTTTAGATACAGCAACAGTGAGTCTTTGGATTATGAATATGTATATGAACAATGTCTGAGAAACTTTTCTTCAAATAGTTGACTTTGTAAAAAGAAATTTTAGATTTTAGTATTTTAAAATAGGAAAGCTGATTTCCCAGTTTAGTAGTCATTCATGTAACAAATATTAACTGTACACCTCTTATATGCTAGGCACTCT